CTGCCATCCCCTGCCCATCTACAGGGCCCAGCCCTGAGCCCCAGGGCGGCACATGCTGAGTGCTGGGGACAGGGGAGGCCCAGGCCACCCTCCCTGAGGAACACAGAGCAAGCAGGGCTTTCAGCCGCTGGCAGGGACCAGCAGGGAGGCTGACAGGGACCGTGAGTGTGGCCCGCCAGGCACCAGGATTTGTCTGAGCTTAGAGACTTGGGTCACAGAAACCCAGGTCAGGAAGGTGACAAGGGGGTTAGGACCTGATGGCCATGACAAAAGGATGGGATTTTTTGTTTGTAACCAGTTTGAAGTCCCCACAGCAGGGCCTGATGCCGACCCTCTCCTGTCCCAACCTGCCCACCCCACAGCCCCTTGTACCCTCAGCCCCCAAGCAGGCTTTGCCTTCTCCCTCCCTCCATCTCTGTCTTTTTTCTGTTTTGGAAGTAGCGCTGTTCTGAGAAATTCATGCTTCTGGGAAGCAGGCCTGATAGTCCTGTTTGTTGAAAGAAATGCTTTCCTTCCACACTCCTGTGTTTATGGCATAAATCTGCGACTGAGGCTGTGTCCCCACCCACCTCCCTGCCTATAATCCCAACATTCTGGGAGGCTGAGGCAGGAGGATTGCAAGTTAGAGCCCAGCCCGGGCGACTTCATGACTTAGTGAGTACCCTATCTCACAATAAAAAGTACAAGAAAGGGCTGGGGATGTAGCTGAGTGCTAACTAAGGTCCTGGGTTCAAGCCCCAGTACAAAAAGAAAAAAAGGGGAAAAGACAAGCTACAAATTTGCAAGTCATATTGCTGAAAGGATCTCTGGCCTTTAAGTAAAAACACAGAGCGATTCTCTAGGGAGGCACAGTGGGTATTTCAGAGGAGGCGGGAGCACTGCAGTGTGGGGCACGAATGCCATGGAAACCATGTGCACGGGGACGGGGGACAAGGTGAAGCAGAACCAGGAGGCCACTGGAGTTATTCCGAAACAGGAATCCTTGGGCACAAGGACCAGCCAAGGCCGCGTACGATGGACGGCGCTCTGGGAGATGTGCTCTTTGTTCGCAGCACGCTGCCCTTGGCGAGGTGCTATGGTTCTGGCAGAGCCTTTTGTGATGGCTCTGGTTATCAGGTGAGGATGCATGAGATCCGCTTTCACAGCCACCCAGCTCTGTTTATTTCATCTTATTTGTTAGAGCTAAGCACAAGAGATTCCATTTTGATTCTGACAACTTTCATGGGGCTTAGCATCCATAATATATAAATAACTTACAAGCGGGGCATGGTGGGGCACCCCTGTCATCCCAGCACTTGGGAGGCTGAGGCAGGAGGACCGCTGCAAGTTCGAGGCCAGCCTGGGCTACATAGTGAGTTCAAGAACAGCCTGAACTACATGGCAAGCAAGACCTTGTCTCAAAAAACAAGTGTCGACAGGGCCGGGGATTTAGCTCAGTGGTTCCACCACCTGCCTCGCAAGCACAAAGTCCCGAGTTTGATCCTCGGTACCCAAACAAAACAAAACAAAACAAAAAAGACAGAAGAGAGCTGAGTGCAGTGGGACCGGCCTGGAATCCTAGCAGTTTGGGAGGCTCAGGCAAGAGGATCAAAAGTTGGAGCCTAACTTGGGCAACTTAGTGACTTAATGAGACCCTGTCTCAAAACACAAAATAAAAAGGAGCTGGGAATGGAGCTCAGTGCTAAGGTCCTGTGTTCGGTCCCCAGTTCCAAAACGGACAGAACAGGCAGGCCTGTTGGTGCAGGCCTGTGACCCCGTGACAGGGAGAGATCCAGCACTGCAGCACTCATTCTATGGCAGACCCAACCCCCTGTGGCCCTGCTGTGGCTGCCCCAGGTAACCCTTGGCCACTAGGGTGATATCTGTCCCAGGTGACCCCTCCCACAGCCCCGCCCACCTGGCTCCCTCCTGCAGCAGCGGTATTCTCAGGAAGCCTCTCCCAGCCGGCCACCACACTCCTGCCCACTCTGGATTCCTGCCTTAGCAGTGCACATCCAGCTGCTCACACCAAGGGCTTCCAAGAGTGGCAAGTGTCCAGAGCTGGAGACATGGAAGACACCAGGCAACGAGAGTGGGAGAGAGCAAGGAAGGACACCCAGAAGCTGCATCTGCAGTGGCAGGAAATGGTTCTGAGACCCTCAGGGGCAGCAACAGAGCTGATGGCAGCTGGGCTCCAAGCCTAGGGCCTTCAACACCAAGTGCTGCACTTTGCCAATTTGTGATTTCTATACCAGTTGAGCAAGAACCCCCTGCCTGCTGACTGTGGGACCCTCCCCTCTGCTGGGCCCTGAAGAAGAGGGTGGCAGTGGTGACCGTCATCAGCCGGGTCAGGAAGCAGCCCATGTCCTATATCCATCCCAGGTACAGCTGAGAACCAAGGCTAGCCAGTGACAGTCCCAGCTGCTGGGGAGGCGGAGGCAGGAAGAGGGCAAGTTTCAGTCCACCTTGAACAACTTAGCAAGACTCTGTCTTTAAATAAAAAATGAAAAAGGACTGAGGGCACTAGAATGTGCAGCCCTGGGTTTAATCCCCAGTGTCACAAAAACTAAAAAGAAAAAAAATAAAAAGAGATAGCAAGGCTGTGAAGAAATTTAAATCCTCCCAAGTCACGGGTGGCGATGTAAAATGGTGCAGCTGCTGTGGAGAACAGGCTGGCGATTCCAGAATATGCAGGCAGGAGTAGTTTTGCTCCTAGGTATTTTGATCGAAGAGAATTGAAAACATCCACATAAAACTTGTACATGGGTGTTCTTAGCAGCATTATTCATTATCCACAAGACCCAGAAAGTGGAAACAGCCCAAGTGCCCATGAGCTGATGAATGGGAGAAACAAAACACAGGAGAACCCAGGCAATAGAATATTACTCGGCCATCAAAAGGAACAAAGTTTGAAGGCACAGAATGGTGTGGATGAAAATTGCAAAGTCTAGGCTAGGTGAAAAAAGCCCCCCAAAAGTGGCACACATTGGGACTGTTTTATAAGCCATATTCTGTCCCAAACAAAATGATCCACAGATACAGAAATTAGGTTAGTTGTTGGCAGGAGCTGGGGCAAAGGGGAAAAAGGAGTGACTGCTAATGGGCACAGGGGGTTTTTTGTTTTTCTTTTGGTCTTGCTATGTAGTCCACGCTGGACTTGAACTTACTCTGTAGCCCAAGCTGGCCTTAAACTCAGCAATCCTCCTGCCTCAGCCTCTTGAGTGCTGGGATTACAGGTGTGTGCCACTATGCCCAGCTCTGGGCACAGGGTTTCATGTCAAGCCCGGCGCAGAGGTGCATACTTGTGATCCTAGCTCTCCGAGAGGCTGAGGCAGGAGGGTCACAAGTTTAACTCAGCTTAAGCAACTTATCAAAACCATGTCTTTAAAAAATATATAGCAAAGGGCTAGGGATTTAGCTCAGTGGTTCCGCCGCCGCCTGCCTCGCAAGCAAAACGACTCGAGTTCGATCCCTGGTAACAAAAACAAAAACCAAACAAACAAAATAACCCCAGCATTTGGCCGGGGATTTAGCTCAGTGGTTTCATCGCCTGCCTCGCAAGTGCGAGGACCCGAGTTCGATCCCCGGTACCAAAAAAGAAAAAAGAAAAAAAAAAACAAAAACCCCCCCAAAAATATATGGCAAAAGGCTCTGGGTTCAATCCAGTACTGCAAATTTACTTTAAGTGGTAAATTTCAGGGATTGTGAATTGTATCTCAGTTTTTAAAAAACTGACTGAAAGCTAGGCGTGGTGGTACACTCCTGTAATTCCAGCACTAGGGAGGCTGAGGCAGGAGAATCACCATGAATTCAAGGCCAGCCTGGGCTACATAGAGAGACCCTGTCTCAAAAAACCAAAAATAAATAAACAAATAAATCTGACTGAATACACTGCAGTGACAGGAAATACCTGGAATGCATTCAAAGTGGATGGGGGGCTGCCCAAAAGAAATAAAACAAGGACTTGAAGAGACGTCGGCACCCGTGGTCACAGCAGCATTAATCCTAGGAGTCAAAGGTAGAAGCCACCCAAGCATCCAAGGACAGGGACTGGGTAAACTAACTATGGTCCTTGAGCTGGGGATGTAGCTCAGTGGCACCGCGCCTGCCTCACAAGTGCAAGGTCCCGAGTTTGATCCCCGGTACTGGAAAAAGGGGGAGATCCTGATGCACAATATATGGTGCATCTTGAAGGCTTGTGCTAAACGAATATGCCAGTCACAGACAAATGCTGCAGGAGCTCACTTCCTTTTGTGGCGCTGGAGATTGCCCCGAGCTGGGCTGGGTCCCTGGCCTCGGCCTGTCGCCGTTCTGGGGTGGCCCTGGAGTCCACCCTCTGCCCCTCTTCCCTCCTTGCGGGTCTTTCCCAAGAGCCCAGGCGAGGCCAAGGGCCCTGCTGCACCTGATGCTTGCACCACCAGCTCAAAGGGTTCCTCTCACAGGGGTCCCCAGAGCAGTCACAGAGACGGAGAACAGAGGGTGGGAGTCGGGCAGGGGTGAAGGGGAAAGAGGGTTAAACATGGGTAAGATGGGCCAGGCATGGTGGTGCACGCCTGAATTCCAGCTCTGTGGGAGGCTGAGGCGGGAGGATGCCAAGTTGGAGCTTACCTTGGCCAACTTACACACTTGGTAAGACTCTGTCTCCAAATGGATATAACTAAGGTTGAGATGGTGTTAGATGATAGACAGACCATGCGTATACCTCACACTCCTAAGTGTATCTGCCCTGGGGATGGCTGACTTGGCCCTGCCTACCCTCAGCCGGGCACTACTGTCCCACCCGGCCACACGGACCCCTCAAGCAGTGACAGCCACACCAGCAGTCTTGGGTCCCTGTGAGCCCTGTCCTGATCCACACAGCCTCTCCCTCCCTGCTGTCACTCGATGCCCCGTGTAGGTGCCAGGCCTCCATCTGGGCATCTGTCTGAGCCCCACTATGGAAGTGAATGAAGCCACCCGCCCTAGACAGAGTAGGGACAGCAGGTGAGCAGTGTCGATGAGTAAAGACCACGGTCGCCAGCTTTCTAAATCAATGTACTTTATTTCAAACTCCCCACATGCCACAAGTTCACAGGAAATCACCTGTCCGGGAGGAAGAGCGAACACCACGCTGAGGACTGGGAGTCACCGTGAGATGCCTTGGGCGGGCAGGGAGGGGCCAGTTTGTCACCAAAAGGCAGGGGATGGTCATTTAGCACCTGGTCGCATGGTAAGGAGACCCCTGGGCCAGGGAAAAGCCACTGAGCTCCACTCAAGGCAAAGCCACACACAAAGGTTCCGGTCAGAGGGGCAGCACCAGGGCTGGGGAAGATGCTGCTGTCAAAGATGTTACACAGCATGTTGCTTCCTGCCCTGAAAGCCCGCATACCTTTGCACACACCTCCCTTGGGTCCACATTCGCTGTGAGCCTGGCTCTACACACTTCACTTGCACGGGGGTGTCAGGTTCTTGCCCTGAGCCCCCTAGGCCTCAGGCAGATCAGGCAAGGGACACAGCCAGGCGGCGACCCTGTGCCTTTAATGCAAGACAGAACACCTGACCCCGTGGTGCTCATGCAAGGCTGCCTGATAAAGTCCAGGGCACTGGTCGCTTGTGTGGGACCCACAGCTGGAAGCCCTGGTTCACTGTGCCTAGAAGCTTCCTTTGGAATCCTGAGCCCCAAATGTACCAGTCACTGTGACTAGTCACAGTGAGCCCTGGGAAAGCGCAGGGAGCGATGGTTGTCAACTCACCCTTCCCCCAGGTCTGCTGGCTGGAAGCCACCTCCACCATCCTGCCCCCCACAAGCTCCTCCATTCCCCTTACAGGAGCTCTGCAATTCCAGGTCCGAAAAGGGACAATCACTGGGGGCAAAGGGACTGGGGGCAGCCCCTGCTCAGAGGGGACACTAGGGTGGGTCCTGCTATCCTTCTGGCAAAATATCCTGCATGGGACCCTGGCTGGGGGTGCAGTCTTGGGGCCTTGCAGCCCCTGGCTCTCATAGCCCTGCTGCTGGGGCTCAGGCCTGCCCCGTACCCAGCCATGCCTGCTTCGTGGGCCTCGCTCCTGGTCATGGATCAACCGAGAGTTGGTGCTGTTAAGGGGACGGGCACCCAGCAGAGCTTAGTGTCTGAAGAGTCCGGACCATCCTGGCTGCAGGCCCCTGCCTGGCCCCTCAGGCCTGAGCCTGCTATGACAGCATGAGAATGAGGACAGCCACCCCACACCAAAAGGGGGACCTGGGGCCCAGAAATGCACTTTTCCTCTGCTCTCCTCAGACTCAAATGCCTTCATGCCAGAAGCCCAGGGGCCCAGTGTGGCTTTTGGAGGGGGTCACAGGGATCAGGACACAGGGCCTCAAGGTCTCAGGGTCCAGGATGCCAGGACACTGCACCTGCCATGGCCCTAGAGGAGACAAGAGCAGCAGACCTGGGACGAGGGGTGGTTAGGGTGGGGGTGGCACCAATGGGAGACCAGGAACTTTCTCTTTATAAGAACAAAGGACGGCTGGGATTCAGCTCAGTGCCACCCCACCTGCCTTGCAAGTGCAAGGTCCTGAGTTCAATGCCTGGTACCGAGACAAAACAACAACAAAAAACAAAGGATGAACCTGCTAATCTCCTCCCTCCTCCCACCCCCAGTTTCTTACACACACGTGCACACTCAGCAGATGCAGACTTAATGTGCTCCAGATGAGCACACACAGGCAATGTGCACAAACACGCAAGTGCAGACGCAAATGCATACACACCATGTTCGCACACTGGCATGTACACGTGTACATGCAGACACACCCATGGATGCCGACACAGACAGGCGTACACATCCCTGCAGAGCCATATATGTATGCATGCACACATACATCCCGGCAGACAGACACAGACACAGACACACACAGACACAGAGAGACACACACACACACACACACACACGCACAGGCTGCAGCACGCTGACCGAGCTCCTTCCAGCAGGCACCATATGGTCTGCCACTTAAGAGCCCAGTCCTGCCAATCAGGGACCATTAGGGTGGGTTCTTTTCCCAGTGTAAAATGCTGCAGAATATAAATTGCAATTAACACCAGTGCCAAAATAGCACTTAGCAAAAATAAGCACGTTATTAACATCTGGTGAATTGTGTCTCAGGTGTAGAAGGAGTGGAAATTCTCACTCCAAGTCAAAGGACTGTAGCAGGGGACAAGGGGACAGTAAAACACAAGGCCTGCTGTTTGCGGGGGGGGGGGGGGGGCTTCCAAGGTGTCTGCGCTCCCAGCCTCTCATGCACAGCTCCCTCCCCCAGCCCTGTTTATGAGCAGAAATTACAGTGCTGGGGAAAACCGCTTGCTCATGAAACAGGCCTGCCAGGCAGATCATAAAAACAGTTTCAGCCTTTGGAGTAAATTCCTAGTGGAAAGACAATTCCCCGCTTAAGCGGGGGCTGCTGGGGAGGGAAGGAGAGGGTACAAAGCCAGGGCACACAGAGCCTCAGGGGCCTCCCTCCTGGGCCACACCTCTGCCAGTCAGCCCCTCACTCTGGGGACAAGTGGCTGGCCCAAGACCCCCAGCACCTGCCCCGACCCCCTGATCAGATGGTGGCCAATTCAGGAGCCTGTTCGAAGCTCTGAAGAAACAGAGCCTCATGCACAGCTGTGTGGGTGTGGGACGATGGCCACGGCCGGGCAGTCTGTGCTGGCCTGCACGGTGGGGAGGGCGGTTGGCTCTGCAGTCTGGAGGCCGCCGTCCCACCACGTCCCCGGGGATCAGTCGGCAGCAGGTCCCTCTGTTGGCTGCAGCCTGGGGACCCCCTCCAGTGGGCAAGGCTGATACAGGGAAGGGCAGGGAGGGGCCAGACCCGCACACTGTAATGGGGCCGGGGTCATGGCAGCAAAGAGCTGTGTCCCTCTGCTCTGCCACCAGGCACATCTGAAAGCGCCGGACTCCCTGGGTCCCAAGGGGGAGCGCCAATGGGCCCCGCTTGCCCTGAGCACCCAGTACAGAGCAGGCACCAACACCAGCAAGGGGACGCAACATAGACTGGGGTGACCCATTACCACGGCAACAGGTGGAAGAGGGCAGAGGGCAAGGCCTGGTGGGCTCTGCACCCCCAGACCCGAGGATGGTGGGGAGGCCCCCAGGCTCCCAATGCTCACAGCCTGCGGGGACTCATGACTGAGAGGCACCAGGGTGGGACTCCGGGAGGACAGGACCCAACTGCAGCCCCCTCAGAGGGGACAGTCTCTCGGGAATGAGGCAGGCAGCCAGGGGCACGGGCGGACCTTGGACGAAAGCAGGTCCCTCCTCAACTCTGAAGCAGCTCTGCCAAGTTTTCCTAAATCCTAAATAAAGTTGCCTGACACGGTGGCCTGATCACTCTGAGGCTTAACCCCCGTTCCGGGTTTAATGTTTCCAGTTATTCTAACAAAGCCAAGCTGCGTCTGTTTCCTCAGAAGCACACGGTGACCTTCACCGGGAGCTGGGTTTTCTGAAGTCAAACAAATGCCACAGATCAGATTGTGCATGGCCCAGCCGGGGAGCCTCACCCAGTGGTCCCTGGCCCAGTGTCCCACAGGCCACAGACACCATCCAGGCGGGAGCATGTCAGAGATGGAACTGGGTTAAAATGTGTCTTTTTTTTTGGTGGTGCAGGGCTCCATCCAAGTGCTCGGCCACCGAGCCACACCCAGCCCTAAGATGAGTCTCAGTGGGAAGGGGCGCCCATGTCTGCAGGTGCAAACCCCCACCCTAGCCCAGCCCAGGCCAGGGGCCACTCCTCCACCCAAGGGGGACACGGCTGGGGCCAACAGTATCCACAGCCTGCCTGGCCTGACTGCTACCCCACGTGGAGACCTACCCAGCCCTCCCTGTCACCCAGAGTACACACCTTCACCCCAACGACAAGTGCCTGGGAAGGAAGAGCAGAGCCAGGGTGGGGGCTGCAGGGCGGCCGAGAGCTGCTTCCTTTCTCTGTGGCAAGCCAAGGGGTCCCACGGCCACAGGCTCGTTGGGGCCAGCACGGCAGTGAGCAGCAGAGGAAGGTGGTCCTCTCACCACCACAGGTTTGGGGGCTCCTCGGCCACTCTGCTTTTAAACAAGGTGATCTCGTCCAGGTGTACCATGGGGACATCCCTGATGACATCTGTCAGCCCCTCGTGCAGCAGGGGGAAGATGACGACGTTCAGGGCGGGCCTCTCAGCCTGGAAGCTGAAGCAGAGACCCACAGTCAGGGGGCCGTGGTGCAGCCACACAAGGAGCAGAGACCACCACGGGACACGGGGACCATGCCCGCCTCCCCACAGGAGCCCAGCCTGGGCCCCCGCCCGGGTGAGTCACCCTGACACACGGTGGATGTAGAAATGAGTCTCAAGGGGCCTTTGAGTGGCAACCAGAGCAGGGGACTGGGCAGGGGGCTGTCACCCCTCTATCTGGGCAGAAGGGGAGGCCAGCCCTGCTCCACAGAGCCAAAGGGCCAGCAGAAGGGACCCAGCCTCCCAGGGATGGGGGCTCCCCAGGGCAGCAGTGCCGGGTGAGCCATGCCTCAGGCCACCCAGAAGGGGAGATGACTACAGGAGAAGCCAACACAGGCACTGAGACCAGCCAGAGCTAAGGCAGCAGAAGGCCTGCACCAGACGGTCACTGCACGCTCACTCAGCAGGCATGGGAGGAGAGGCAGGAGCAGAACAGAGAGAGGCTGGGTGGCCGGAGGAGGGGAGGCAACAACTGAGGCGTTGTGGCCTCCTGGTGGGAGCAGGCAGGGGTGGTAGGAAAGCTGCCTTCCCCTCACCCTTCAGGAAGGCCTGAAACTCTGGGGCCACCAGGGGTCCTGCCCACCAGGCCCACATGGGGCCATCACAGAGGCACAAGATGGGGACCATGCTGAAGAAAGCAGGTCTGAAGGGGGCTAGAGGGCTGTGTGCTGCAAGAAAGTAGGAAAGGCTAGCTGTGGGGGTACATGCCTGTCATCCCAGCACCCAGGAGGCTGAGGCAGGAGGATTGCAGTTTTGAGCCCAGCCTGAGCAACTTAGCGGCTTGGCAATACTCTGTCTCAAAATTAAAAATATAAAAGGGCTGAGGCTGTAGTTCAGTGCAAGGGCTCTGAGTTCCATCCCAGATACCACCAAACAAACGAAAAAAATCAAGAGGTCCACGGGTTTCAGTCTCAAATCTGGAAGAGCAGAGTCAACACATGGATCATGAAGACAGAGAACAAACGTGACTCAAGACACAGTGTGTGGAGCTGGACACACACAAGCCCTTCCCCACGACAGCCACCCCAGGATGGTGGAAACTGGCCTCGCAACCTGGACACCGAGGCAACTCGAGCCCTGATGCTTTTCACTTCCTGAGAGGTGGGGCCAGTGCGACTTGGGAAAGGCCAGCAATCCCACCAGTGACAGGACAGTGGGGCCATGAGGCCTGCTGGCTGAGTCTCCGAGGAAGTGCCAAGAACTCCAGCCCATGCAGATGAGGGCCAGGTGAGCAGAGGAGCTCCATGCATCCTCCAGGCAGCAAAACGGTGAGGAAAAGCAAAGCTCCAGAAAAAGCAACCCTGAACCCCAGGGTGGCATGGAGGGAGGCAATGGAGAGGGGTACTGGGCACTGCGTGTCAAGGACCACAGCACCATCTACTGCAGAGAAGCTGCTGGCACAGCACGGCTGGGGATGCCCTAGATGCCAGCAAGGGGGGGCCAGTGTGGACCAGCATGGGAAAAGCTGGTGCAGCCAGCTGTGGGGCCAGGACCCAGGGTGAGAGCAGAACTCACCACGGCAGGGCCTCTCCCACCCCGCACCCCGGCTGCTTGGCTGGAGGAGAAACCTGGGGCAGAGCAGTGACCACTCTTTTTTTGTTTGCTTGCTTGTCTGTTTTTTGAGGTTCTGGGAGTGGAAGCCAGGGTCTAACACAGGCCAGGCCTCCACCTTGGAGCCACATCCCCGGGGTCCTCCTCTTCCTTCTGATGTGAAGCTCTGTCCTCAGGGCGGCCCTGGGCCTTGTTAGTCCCTGTGTGCTGCAGAGCCTCAGTTTCCCCATGGTAATGGCTGAGGACTTTCCTCTCAGGGATCTGGGAGGTATGGACGCCCAAGAACATCACAGTGCCGGCCGGAGCTCTGTGCAGCTCACACTGCTCGCGGGCCGGAGGAGCACACCAAGGGTCACCTCAGTAACATGGACAGCTCAGTGCCCCAATCCTGGATCCCTCTCCGGGAGTAGAAAGTCAGATTTCCAGGCACTGGGCCAGGTGCGGGACAGGGACAGACACACAGGGCCAAAGGACCACAGGGTCAGCTCAGCTTCCCCCAGGAGTCCACCTGGCTTTCTACCTGCCTCAGGTCTGGCAATCACCATGACCAGTACCCACCAGGCTGCCAGCGAGCCCAGCAGGGCACAAGGCTCAAGGAAAGGACAGCTGCTGAGCGCCAGCTGAGAGAGCCAGCTACCTAAAGGGGACGCAAGGAACTTGACTCTTAGGGGATGTACTTCGTTCCCCTCCCTGAGAGGGCCAGCAGCTGTGCACTCTGGGAGGCCAGAGGGGGCCATGTCTGAGGCAGGTGACCGGTGCCGAGTCTGATCAGCTGGCACAGTGGAGAAGGACAGAGAATCAGAAGGAAAGGGCAGCCTCCCCGCTGGGACATTCAGACCCTTGAGACTGCATTAGCTGTCCTTGTCACATCACAGCTCCAACCTGCCCAGTGAGCAAGGAGCAAGGACATTCTCCACTTCGGCAAGAAAAGCCACTGCTCCACGGGGCCCCCGGGTCCACAGAGTTGGGCATGTCCGGGGCTGCTCAGAGCCCTGACTCCAGCCAGTACAAAACCCCCTCAGCAGAACATACTCTGGGGAGGGGTTGGTACTTGGCCACAGAGCTGCAGGTGGGGCACCCGAGCTCTCCTAGCAGCCCAGGCCACAGGCAGCAGCCCCGGCTGCACCAGAACCCAGCCTCTGCCCCTTGGTCTAGCCAGAGGGGTGGACACCCAGCGGGGCAGTTGCCCTATCTACCCGACGCCTCCCTTGACCAGCTGGGGGGATCCCATGGCCCAGCCAGCGAAGTGCCACAGAGCCTCCAAGTGCTCCTCAGCAGGTGTGGGCTCCTCCTTCAACACCAGCACATTGGGAGGGAGAGGCTGAGCTGGGACAGCCCCCTGCCTGGGCCTCCAGTTCCAGAGCGGACAATCGAGCTTAGTACAGGAAAGTCAGTGACAGTAAGTTATCACTGAGTCACAAACACAACCAGCCAAGACATCATGAAACCAGCAACAGACATTAGACAGTCACTGCAGAGCCAGGCATGCTGGTGTGTGCCTGTAGTCGCAGCTACTCAGAAGGCTGAAGCAGGAGGATCCCTTAAGCCTGGGGGTTTCTGGGCCTGCTCAGGTCACAGGGTGAGGGCAGATCTCATGGGTAGAGCCTTGCCTAGCATGCACAAGGCCCTGGGTTCCATCAAGAAAGAAAAGGACAGGATAACTTCAAGCAGAGAAACTGGGCAGGCACCACCTTAACCAGGGCATCCAGGTGCACACTTGTCCGAGACAGGACACATCACACATGGTCCTGACATCACACTGAGAAGCCCACACGTCTCCAGTAGTGTTTCTCTGCCAAAAACGCAAAATCACAGTCATAAAAAAAGCCTAGCCGGGCATGGTGGCACATGTCTGCAATCCCAGTACCCAGGAGGCTGAGGCAGAAGGATCGCCCCAACTTTGAGGCCAGCCTACACTACACAGCAAGAGCCTGTCTCAAAATAGCCCCCTAAAAAGAAAGAAAAGCCCAGACAACCCAGACTGAGGGGTGCACTGCCAAGCAACTGATGAGGACCTCAGCATCAAGGTCATGAAAGACTAGGAGAGCCTAAAGCGCAGCCAGGGCTAGAGCAGGCAGAGATGGAGTGCCAGCACCTGAGGGGCTCTGGATTGGCCCTGCAGGTGATCCTGGAACACAGCGTGGATGTTGTAGAAACTGACCAAGTTCTAAGGTCACTTGCTTGGCCACCGCACTGCTAATATCTTGTTTTGTTTTGCAGTATTGGGGCTTGAACTCAGCCTTCACACTGAGATATAGCCCCAGCTCTTTAGCAACTTAGCAAGAGCTTATCTCAAACCTGCAATCCCTAGAGTGCTGGGATTACAGGCATAGGCCATCAACCTTGGCTTAAGATCTTGATACCCCACCCCCCATCCCATATCTGTTTTAATCACTGTGCCCCAGGTAACCAGAGGGTCATGTTAGGGTTAATGGTATCTGGTAACTGTAATGTATTTGCTTTTCCAACTTTTCTAAAATTAGTTTAAAATAAGAAGTTGGAGGGAGAACTCAGGGGTATATATTTTATACACCAGGGAAACATTTATAGCATATGCATATAGCTCTGGTGGCTGGCAGTGGGCAAATGCATACCTCTGGTGGCTGGCAGTGGGCGTTGGCATCTAGCAAATAGCCAGCCAGGATGACACAGGGGTGGGACAGCAGGAAGAGCCAGAACTCTGCCCCCATAATCCTGGTCACTGCTGGGCCACGCGCCCCCCACTCACCTGCGGAGGAGGGACTGCTGCAGGCTCTTGCAGGTGGCAAGTGACTCGCCAGTGAACATGTGGCACATGACGACGTGCAGGCAGCGGGCCATGAAGGCCAGCACGGCATCGGGCTGCAGGGTGCCGCTGCGGGAGACCAGGCACAGGCGCTGCAGCGAGGCGCACTGGCTCAGCGCCTGGAAGAACTGGGCGTTGGCATTGAAGTAGGGCTGCTCCAGCCTGCAGGGAGAGGGGCGCGTGAGTCCTTACCTTCACCTCCTTGGCACCCCAGGGAGACCTGGATTGGGGTCCTGATGCCATTGGCACACTGAGTCCCTGGGGGCCGCTCAGTGCCCTCCCCCATCCCACTCCAGACAGGAACCCACCACGGCCCTGCACTGGGAGCTTGGTCCTTAGGGAAGCAGAGGAAGGAGCAGGCCAGGAAAGGGTGGACAGGGACCTAAGCCAGGAAGGGCCATTCCAGCCATGACAGAGGGTAGAAGCACTGAACTCAGCTCCACACGGGCAGAGGACCCTGCCCAGCCCACACCTGTTTTCAGAAAGTTGGGGGGACCTTGACAGGGTGGGGCCAGCATGGGGCAGAAAGGAGGAGACAGGAGCCGGTGCCATGGCCAGGGTCTCCCTAAACTGCCCAGATTGGGCTCCACTGCCAGCCCTCCTGCCTCAGCTTCCCAGAGAGCTGGGATGACAGGCGTACGTCACTGTGCCCAGCTATTTCGTGCTTTAAAAGCGTGCAGTCATGGTTGCAGGGCACACTGTTCCCCTGGCCGGAGCAGCATCAAGGCTGACAGCAGAAGGGAGGCCTTGCTAAGGGGGAAGGACATCTGTCTAAAGCGGGCAGCTGGGAGAGGGGCTGGGCAGGCAGGGACAAGGGTGCCGCAGGCTGGTGGAGACAGGAGGGTGTCTGCACACTGCTGTGCACTGGGGACAGAGCCCGGTGCCAGGCCAGCCCACCCAGATGGTTGGGGAGGAAATCCAAAAGGACAAACTGCCAAGGAAGTGGCTTCCCTTTGCTAAACAGGCTTCACCCCTACCTCGCAGTCACCTGTGTATAACTAGGGACAAAAGCACTGGACAGGGTGGCCGCCGCCACCACCAGACTTGTGCATGGCACAGCGAGGGTTGGTCCCCCAGAAAAACTGCCCCAGCTGCTTTGGCCCAGCCCATGGGGCATACAAGCCCTAGGTTGCCAGGTTTGTCCATGAGGGGACCCGCAAGGCACACAGAGGTCCCACATTGGTGACTTCACGCACATCCTGAGAGGAGCTTCCAGGATGCACGAGAGGCCACACCCTCCTGTGGCAGCAGGGCCACCTGAGCCTGTGCTGAGTCACAGTGAACAGCAACACTGAATGAGGCTCAGCCGGGTGTGTCTCTCAGGACACAAAACCAGACAAGGCCCAGGCCCACGGGCTCGAGCCCTAGCAGCTCTACCATGCCGGAAACATCAACAGGTATGTGACTCAGGTGTCAAGAGGACAGGTTCTGCAAAAACAGAGGCCTGCCGGGGATTTAGCTCAGTGGTGCCATGCCTGCCTCAAAAGCACAAGGTCCTGAGTTTGATTCCCGGTACAAAACAAAAAACCCCAAAAAACAGGCCAAACACTGGCTGAGGGTGTGGCTGGTGGCAGAGCCCTCTGCTGACCTAACATGTGTGACCTCCTCCCAGCACCAGAGATGGCACAGAGCAGACCAAGCAGACAACAGGGTTGCCCCTGACTACTGGGACACTGCTTGGGCTGCAGCCCGCAGGGCCACTCAAGCGGAATGCAGCAACTGAGATGGTCTCATCTTTTTTTTTTTCTGGTCTCATCTTATTTTATCCTCAATTGCAGCCCTGGTGGCTTCGTACTGAGCTACATCGTCAGATCCCTTATATTTTTTACTTTGAGGCAGGGTCTCACTAAGTTGCCAAGGCTGGGCTCACTTGCGATCCTTCTGCCTCAGCCTCCCAGAGTTCTGGGATTACAGGTGTACCACCACACCCAGCTAGAGGCTGGTCATTATTTTATTTTAGCTGATGTATGCAGAGCTCCCATGGGCTCCTGGATGTAGGGGAGGTGCATGTCCTCCCAGGGAAAGACCTGGAAAGCTGCAGCACCCACTGCTCACTTCTGGACTGGCATGGCGGAAGGCAGCCTCTAGGGGCTCCTCCGAGTAGCATTCGTGGAGTACCAGCCTCACCTCACAGGCACACATGACAAATGTCATCCTTAGACACAGGAGGATCATAACAGGAGCAGGGCAGATGCCTCTCCAGGCTCTGAAGGTGACCAGGTGGCTCTGTCCCCCTCTCCAAGGACATGAGGGCCCTGCAACAGCAGAGCCCAGGCAGCTAAGAAGTGGCGCTCCACCTTCAGATCTCGATTTGGGGGGCTCTGGGTTAGCTGAGACAGGGTCTCATTATGTAGCTCAGGCTGGATTCAAACTACAGATACTCCTGTGTCAGCCTCTGGACTTTATTTTTATACTGAGGACTGAACCCAGGGCCTTTGCACACAGGGTCTCACTAAATGAGTAAATTGCTGAAGCTGGGTTTAAATATGCCATGACTGGGCACGGTGGCGCATGCCTGTAATTCCAGCACTCTGGGAGGGTGAGGAGGATCACCTCGAGTTTGAGGCCAGCCTGGTCTAGACAGTGAGTTCAAGGCCAGCCTGAACTACATAGCGAGACCCTGCCTCAAAAAAATTTTTATTTATTTTTTGGTACCGGGGATCCAACTCGGGTCCTTGCGCTTGCACAGCCAGCGGCAAAACCACTGAGCTAAATCCCGGCCCCTCAAAAAAATTTTTTAAAAGCCATCCTCCTGCTTCAGCCTCCCAGAGTGCAGGGATTACCGGTGTGTACCACCATACCAGCTTTGATTTCAATTTTGAACTGATTTCAAACTGTTTAAACACACAATTTGGTTCTTTTCTTTGTGTGCGTGTTTGTTTTGTTGAGGTCCTAGGGCCTAGAATGTTTTGGCTCCGCAGCCCTGCGTGCCAGGACCCGCCAAGGGCACACAGAGCTCTGGCAGCCAGGTGGCTGGCAGCGGGAGTCGCTCAGCGCTCTCCCTTCCCACGCTGCAGGGAGAAATGAGGCACCAGGCCACACCTGCAGCCTCCGTCACTAGGTGGCGATGTGGGGCTGTGCTACTGGTCCCAGACCTCCCAGGCCAACTGGGTCCCAAGGCCCAGTGCACACTTTCAAACCCTTCCAGCCTGGACAGCACCCGCCTCCTTCCCTGAAGGACATCCCCGTCAGTCCTCTCTTCTCCCCGGCTGGCCTCCCTGTGCAGCAGGCAGGGCTGCCATCAGCACAGCTGGGAGAAGGGACCTGAAGCGGTGACCAGTGTCTGCAGGAAAAGGAATCCACCCTGACCAGCACCTGGGGCCCTGCCCCTGCTCCTTCCCAGGCAGGACCCAGCTCCAGATCCCAACCCCAGGGGTGACTTGTGTGCTCGGATCGCGGCAGAGCAGCAGCAGTGCCCTGGCCCTGTGTGCACTCCTGGGGTGGTGCCAGGCCTGCCTCTGTCAGCTCTCACTTCTGCCCTGGCGCTGCACTGGCTCTAAGGTCAGGTGGCCGGGGTGACTCAGGGTTCGGGTCTCTCCTCCCTTCGCCCAGAGCCGGATCAGTTGGTTGTGGGAAAGAAGGTGCCCTTTTCTGCCCAGAGGTGTGCCCTGAGTCCGCAGCTAGAGCAAGCTGTTCCTGCAGTACCTCACCCACCAGGGGCCCAGGCTGGCAGCTGTGTTCATGATGCTGGGGACAGGTGGCCAGAGCAGGGAGGACAGCCGGGGATCCCACGGGTGCCATCTCAGGCACATTCCTTTGGGAGGCAGAACATGTCCCCTCTGGGGGGCTCTGGCCCACAGGCAGAGGGGTCACTGCCACAGGACACAGGAACCAGAGGCAAGGGGCCCTGTGTGTCCATGGAGGCAGCACCCAGCTCAGGGCATGCACAGCTGTGGTCGTATACACAGTAGTGCCATTCACGCCGTGGTCAGGTTTGCCCCAACCCCAAAGGCCTCCCTCGCTGCCTGGTCGGCCACAGGGACATGCCCCAGACCCCAGAGACCCTCTGTGACCACCAAACGTGGTCATGCTGCCACTCAATGTCCGGCTGCCCTGTGGGCCAGCCGTGGGGCCCTGCCAGGGCCATTATCTCTCTGCAAGAGTCTACACTCGCAGGCTGTCTTGGCTCGAAGACTCAATCCCTGTTGGCGAGAGACAAGCACCTAGCAGCTGTCCCGTGGGCAGCCACGCTCCTGCCTGAGGGCCGCCCCCTTCCATGTGACAGTGGCTCCTCAGTGTACTCCGCTGCTGCTTTGGCCTCTATCGGGCCAGTTCCTGCCACACCCCAGGCCATCAGCAACCCAGCTCTGGAAGCCCTGTGAATGTGCTGTGTACATCCCTGGTTTCTCTTTCCCCGGCGCTCCCTGATAATTGCCAGATGGCCTAGCCACAAAAAGCACACAGGCTAGCAGGTCAGCAGAAAGCATAAAATGGACGGCAAGCAAAGACCTAGAAAGACCTCAACTCCAAGCCTGACTCACACTCACTGGGCTCTCAGAGCGGAGGAAGCTTTCAGTTCCTAATGGAGAGTCGCAGACCCAATAGGAAAGCCGCCAGGGTGTGTACGTCCAGTGTCATGCGAGCAGCTCTCTTCCCTTGTGCGCACTGACCACATGCTCCCCACCGCTTGCTCTGCAGGGAAGGCCAGCACGGCGGACTGGGGAAGCGGGGGGACACTGGATAGAGAAACAGCGAGGGAGGACAGGGAGCAGCCAGGCATGTGCACACCTGTCATCTCAGCACTGTGGGAGGCTGAGGCAGGAGGATGGCAAGTTCAAGCCCAGTCTGGGCAACTCAGTGACTTAGACCCTGTCTCAAAATAAAAAATAAAAGTGCTGGGGATGGAACTCAAAGGCCCTGGGTTCAATCCTCAGGACTTCCAAAAATAAGTCACAGTATGCTGGTGCCTGGTGGCTCTGAGGACAGACACAGATGAGGATGGAGGCATTGGCACCCCTCAAAGTCACTGGCTTGCGCAGGTGAACAGTCCATATACCTGGCTGGGTGTCTCCCTCCCTCAGTGCAACACAGATCCCCAAAGCACGTCAGCTCTGACGTGGACTTGTAAACCAGCAGGCAGCCACTGAAACCGCAAACAGCACAGGATACACAGACCCAGAATACTGGGCCTGCTCTGCACACCCTGCCTGTGTCTGCTCAGGCCCAGGGTCCAGCCACAGCACCTGGCGTGTGGCCCAAGGTGCAGGCCGTGCAGAACATTTGGAAGGCCAGCTGACCCTGGCTTGTCACCTGACACCAGCAGCAATCCAGAAGGCCTCGGCAAGGCCATCAGGAGGCCACGGAGCAGGGCGCACAGCGGGGCCAGGAAGGTGCGAATGCTCAGCTTGAACTGGCTCACTTCCTGCAGGCTGAAGCCAGGAGGGAACAGTGGAGGCTGGCAGAAGACAAGTCACCTCCCCTCTGTGAGCGCAGGTTGAGGGCCAAGGTCAAGCTGGTGACAACAGACAGTGACCCCTCAGCTCTGCTCTAAGCATCAGGCCTCAGCCACGAAATGGGACTGCCGAAGCCACCGTCCTCCAGGGACTGCTGTGGGGACAATGACTCAGTGTCTGGCCCACAGGGAAGGCACAAAGGAAGCACAGAGTACCCCGGGGACTAGACAGATAGCCCCATGGCCCCCAGGCAGGACAGGGCTTTGTGGTCCCAGGGCTGCCTGCAGCCACCCACCCCACAGCTAAGGACTCGAGGAGGGGCTGCTCTTGCTCCACCCTGCAAGGCGCAGCTGGGTGTGGGGAGCTGGGCTTTGCTGCCTGCCTGCATCTTGGTGATTTTCCAAGATCAGATCTATCTGCCAAGATTTTCTTAAATTAACAAATTTTCACCCTTTAAATGCTGGGATGCCATGGGAACTCCCTTCCCTCTGGGCACAATTCAACATGGGTCTGGAAATGCTGGGGGCGCAGTGACAAGGGCTGGCCTGTGGTCCCAGTTCCTCCCACTCTCCTAGATGGTTCTGCCACCGCTCCTTGGAGTCTGCATCCCCTCAACCTTCTTTTATGTGTGTGGTACTAGGGATTGATCCCAGGGCCTTTGTACTGAGCTACACCCCCAGTTTTTTTTTAAATTTTGAGACAGGGTCTCACTAAGTCACTAAGTTGCCCAGGTTGGGCTCCAACTTGCCATCCTCCTGCCTCAGCCTCCTACAGTTCTGAGATTACAGGCGTGTACCACCATGCCCAGCTTGTGTCCCCCACACACTGCACATGGGATGACAGCAGACCCCCTGCTGAAGTCTTTTAGCATCTTACATGCCTGCCTTTCCTGCCTCTTTGCAATACTCCAGCCACTCTGAACCAACTGGCTTTCAGCAACTGTCCAACCTCTGGGGCTCCTGCACATGTGCCAATATCCCAGAAGTCTCAGGTCTGCAACCCCTGGCTAACTCCTATACATCCACCACAATCCCATAGTTGGGTCAGAAAGCCCTGGGTTGAGCTGGGTGTGGTGGTCCACGCCTGTCATCCCAGCAGCAGGAGAAAAAAAAATCTGAGCCCAGTCTAAGGAGTTAGTGACTTAGTGAGACCCTGTCTCAAAATTTTAAAAAAGATTAAAAAGGGCTGGAAATATAGCTCAGCGTGAAGATTTCAATCCCTAGTACCACACACACATACACATACACACACAATCAAACCCCTCCAGGGCAGTTAGGAAGGCTGGGCAGAGTGTACACAGCACCAAGCAGAACAATCACTCCGGGAGCTACAAGGAATGACCATGACACCAAGCCCTGGGGTCTCCCTGCACCCTGGCCCCACTGCACTGAGCTCCCTAGGCCCCCCTGAGCCCTCGCTGTGCACACCGAGCCCCAGCGCAGACAGGCCTTCGCCTGCTCCCTGAGCTCTCCCCCAAGGCCCCGCAGGCCTCCAAGGCCTCACCTGAGGTCCTTCAGCTGCCTGCAGTGCTTCAGCATGTCAGAGAGGGCAGGCACGTAGACCACCTTCCCCATCATGCCCAGGTTGGCCAACGACAGGGACTGCAGCTGCTGGCACTGCAGGCCGATGCTCACCAGCCCCGACCCTGTCAGGATGCCGGGCAGCTGGGCCAGCGTCAGGTGCTGCAGAAAGGCCAGCTGGCCGATGGCAGCCACCTCGGAGTCCCCAACATTCTGCGCCCGGCTGCAGGGTGGGAGGGAGTTGCGGATGGCGGGCTCATTGCGTGGCATGGCTGAGGAGAAATTGGAGCCGATCAGCTCGAGGTGCTCCAGGAAGGGCAGGTTCTTTAGCAGGGACCAGAATGCAGAGGAGGGCTGCTGGCCCGCAAAGGGGCCAGGGCAGGTCTGCACGCCTATGCGCACCCTCTTGCCAAAGCCTCGAGGCACGGCGTGCATGGCAGGCTGGGCAGGCACACGGTCGGCTCGAGGGGCAGAGTCAGCCACAGAGCAGACAGGCAAGGACAGCGAGCGCAGGTGGCAAAGACGAGCCAGGAGGTGGCACAGGTGCCTGCCCAGGCCCTCGGAGCTATGGTGGTGCGCGGCTGAGAGGTTGAGGTGGCGCAGGTTGCAGCAGGAGGCCACCAGCGTTTCCAGGATGCTGCTATCGATGTCATCCTCAGCCTTGCGGAGCAGGGAGTCTGGCGAGAGGCAGTGCACGCAGCCACTGAGGTTCAGGCTGGCCAGGCTGCGCAGGTCCTTCCCATCATTGATGACACGCTGGATCAGGTGGCCACCGGACAGCGTGCAGCGGCTGAAGCTGAAGTAGAACGGGTTGTTGAACTTGATGTGCTGGAGCAGGGATGAGCCGTTCAGCCAGGACTTGGGCAGCTGCAGGGCATCCAGGGCCACATTGCGGGCCATGGACTCCAGGAGGTTCTTGGTGGCACCGCTCTCCGCAAAGCTGCCAGGGACGGAGATGAGGAAGGCGTGCAGGTTCTCGGGTGTGCGGTCACTGAGCACGGCCAGGTAGAGCCGCACCACCTCCTGGTTGATGTAGCCAGGGGCCAGGCGCGCATAGAAGACGCGCAGGTTCTGGTAGTGGGGCACGTTGCTCTGGCCCACCATGAGCTGGCCGGAGAGCACGGCGCCCTCCCGAGTGCGGTCCAGGATCTCGAAGTACAGCAGCAGCTTCTGCAAGCTGGCACAGCAGGGCACCACGCCATAGGAGGGCGTGAACAGGGTCTGCTTGAGCTCCTGCACGCGGCTCAGCGTGGCCCGACACTCGCTGCTCAGCTGGCTGGCATCAAAGCCAGGGATCACATCAAGGGCCAGTGAGCGCAGCTGCTGCAGGGCTGAGAGCACCTTGGAAAGGCGTAGGGAGGTCAGGTGGCAGCCAGACAGGTTCACCTTCACCAGGCTGTGGCATCGGGCCACGTGCTCGATGGTGACGCCTGACAGCCAGTAGCAGCCGGCCATGCTCAACTGCTGGATCTCCCGGCCGATCACCTTCACCAGCTGCTTAACCTTGTCCTCGCTCGCCTGCAGGACAGGGATGGGAGGGAGACGAAGGGGGAGCTGAAGGACGCAGGTTCCACAGGGATGCGGGAGGTCAGGAGAGGCCCCAGCTCGTGGCAATGCAAAGTGGCGCACCGTGGGAGAAGGAACTCTGCTAGAAGCTAAACAAGATGAGGAGCACTTGTGCTCCCAGGATTTCCCCAGGGCACTGAAGACAGGGAGTCCCACAGACACCTGCCAGCCATGAGCATCGCAGCCCCAATCACAAGAGCCAAAAGGCAAAAACTACCTAAACGTCCTTCAACAGAGGAATGCGCACACAAATGGTGAGCAGTCCACACCATGAAATACCACCTGGCCATAGAAAGGAACAACATAAATCAAGCAGGGCAATACACGCCTGTCATCCCAGCAGTCTGGGAGGCTGAGGCAAGAGGGTCACAAATTCCGGCCCCGCCTGGACAACTTAGTAAAACCCTATCTCAATTTTTGTTTTGGTTTTTTGGTACCGGGAATCAGACTCGGGACCTTGCGCTTTCGAGGCAGGTGGCGGAACCACGGAGCTAAATCCCTGGCCCACCCTATCTCAATTTTTTAAAAAATAAAATAAATTAATTAATTAAAAGGCTGGGGTCTGTAGCTCAGTGGGAAGGGCCTGCATTCAGTCCCCAGTACCATACATAAAAAAGAACAGTACCTGGCACTGCACCACCAAACTGTAGGTTCGGTTTCACAAAGACCCCAGCAAGTCCTCTCCTCCGGCTCCACCTTTCCCCGTGCCCAAAGCATGGATCCCTCCCAACACCATGTCTTCGTGGTGGCATGCCACCCACCCCTTCTGCCTCGCCTGTTGTTCAGTGTACCTTGGAGACAAGCAGCGGCCCCTCCCTGACATCTCAGTCCCCAGCACCCGCTTCCGCCCACAGTACCTGATAGTCCTTCTGCAGCAGCACGGTGTGCACCAGGCTCTTGTCCAGGCTCAGGGCTGCAAGCTTCCGGCACACGTGCCGCACATTCACCACCAGGTCTGTGCTGGGCACATGGCTCAGGATGTGCAGCAGGATCTCATCGGAGAAGCCCAGCAGGTGGGCACTCCCTGCCACCTCTGCTGCAGCAGCTGGGGCCGCAGTGTCTGGGGCCGCAGTGTCTGGGCCCACGGTGTCAGTGTTGCTCTCTGGGGCTGCAGTGTCAGTGTTGGTCATGTCCTGAAAATAAGGAGAACACAGGTTTCTACAGGTTCCTGAGGACAGCCGACGCCACCATCTGTGGGGAAGCATGTGCTTTTGCCAATTTTTGCGGGGGGGGTTACAGAGGATTAAACTCCAGGCCTTCACACTGTGCTACATCCTGGCCCTTTTCATTTTTTATTTCGTGGAGGGCACTGACTGTCTGGACCTCAGGACAGGTGACACAGGAGCTCATGTCAGCAAGGTCCTCACAGGCACTGAAACAGAGAGGAGCCACCATGGAATACGAAATGGCACCTGCTCATGAACGACGTCTTACACTGCTGTTTTTGGTTTTAGCTTTGTTTTGTGTGGTAGGGCGTTGAACCCAGGCCTTACAATGAGCTCCACCTCCAGCCCTCCACCCTTTTCTTTTTGAGGCAGGATCTCACTAAGTAGCTAAGTTGCCCTGGCTAGGCTCAAACGTGCAATCTTCCTGCCTCGGCCTCCCAGGGTGCTAGGATTACTGGCATGCTACCAGTGAAGTCTTGTTTTTATTTTCTTAAATTTTGAGAGGGATGGGGATTTAGCTGAGTGGTTCCGCCACCTGCCTCACAAGTGCAAGGACCCAAGTTCATCCCTGGTACCAAAAATAAATAAATAAATTATTTTGAGGTGAGGTCTTGCTATTACCCCTGGGCTGGCCTTGAACTCTAGGCTCAAGCAATCGTCCTGGCTCAGGCACCAGCCACCACGCCCCAAAAGACTAAAGACGTTTGAAAATCTCACAGTCAGTACGATTTGTAACTATAGAAATAGTACAGATTCTCTCTGTTTTTCATCCTTTCTGGTTAAAAACTCATCTTGGTACTTCCGTTAGACATCTATACCTTTCCCTCTGCTTTACTGTATCCAGCAGGCCAAGTATGGAGTTCCTCCTTTGGTGTTTGTGTGAACACAGGAGATGGCCTGGACCTCCGCTCTGTGACAGAAAGCTCCAATCAAGGAAGAAGGAATACACAAGAGATAGCAAGGGGAGCATGCGAGAGGAAACCCTCACCTTCCCAGCACCATGCAGGGGGCCCTCACCCGAATGACCACCTCTGGGAGGGCGCCCCCAATGGCTCTTACTGCCTTTTCCAGAGACTATGTCTATAAAGTGCTTGTCATCAGCCTGTCCCTTCTTCCACTCAGCTTCCTGGATGTGTCTGCATGGATGGAAGCCTGGGTTTGTGAAAGCCCTCTGCTTCCATGGCAACCATGCAGCAGCACAGGCAAGGGCCGGCTGTACTCCCTCACCCCGCCCAGCCCTCGCTCGTCCTGATGTCAAGGAATGCTGCTCACCTGTTCTGAGGCCAAAGCGGCGTCCTCCATCCTCCTACTGGGGAAGCCACGATGGACACCAAGTGACACTGCCAGGTCAGGAAGGCGGTCTGCCACCAAGGTCAGAAGTTCGGGGACTTGTCTCGACACCACAGGCTCTTCCACCTTCCCTCCTTGGGGAGAGGCGACGGTCAGACCCTCCCTCCTGCCCCAACAACATGGGGCCCCCAGCTGTGCCACGTAGTATTCCAGCCCCGTATTTCCAATCACAAGTGACCGTCCCTTACACAGTGCTTCCTGGGGTCACCCAGACTCCCTGTTGGCGGTAGCTCAGTGGTAAGAGCATTTTCCTGGCGTGTGTAAGGCCCAGGGTTTGACTCAAGCGCTGCACATGTGGATGCGTATGTGCGCACGCACACACACCACACACTTCTAGACCAGGACCCCAAAGCAGAGACACTCTCCACCAAAACCAGCATAATCTCTATCAGGCAAACAGGGCTCTGGAGTGGCCATGGGTTGGAGGAGGGGATACAGGAGTCCCCCTCCAAACTCCCAATTTGTAGATTTGTCATAGAAAGCCACCTCCCAGCTCACGTGGGCAAGAGTGAGAAGAGGGGAAAGTACTCTAAAAAACCCAGCACCGGGCCGCCAGGCACTGGCTGGGGCGGCCTAGTTGAGCAGAGGTGCCACCAGGAGTCAGCCTGCAGCCAGTCCTGACAGGTGGTCCCAAGGCCTGCAGCAACCGGGACTTCCCTGAACCGGGCTTCTGTGAGCGCAAGCACCTGGTACCCAGGTCAGGCGGCAGGGGAAGCCAAGCACCAGCGCTCATCATGCAGCCCCTAGGGGGTGGGGCCTCCGCCACGACAGCCAGGACCACGTATTCTCAGCCTTCGCGGATATGGAAGCAGACCAGGCCATCTGAAAACTTGTGCAACAGCTGCCAGTCAGATGGCAAGTGATGCCTCCGCAGGGCTGATCCCCTGGGCACAGAACTCCTCCTACCACCCCAGGGGAGCACCTTCTAGACAGGTCCCGGCAGGACAGGTCCCGGCAGTACAGTGCCAGGAGTCTCCCAAAATCCCCACCCAGAGGCAAGAAGCAGCCTGGCATCAGACCCTGGTTATCCGATTCGGGCACTGAACCATCCAGCAAGAACCAGAATGGACAGTGAAAAATGCTTTAGGGTTTAGATATTGGCCAAGTATGGTGCTGCATACCCTGAGAAGCTGAGGCAGGAGGATTCCGAGTCCAAGCCCAGGCTGGGTAACTTAATAATTCAGTGAGACCCTGTCTCAAAATAAAAACAAGGAGTACATTCCTGTAATCCCAACATTTGGGAGGCTGAGGCAGAAGGAACTCTGCTGTGAATTCAAGGCTAGCCTGAACTACATAGCAAGATAAATAAATAAATAAAATGAGGGCTGTGGATGGATGTCACACCACCGAAAAAAAGAACAAAGAAAGTTTAGATATTCACTAAGCTCCAGGCCTTACGTACTTTTCAGATAAAATCTTATTTCCCTGAAGATAAGACCCATCTGGAAAATAAGCCCCAGTTAAAATCATCAGGTAGGGCTGGGGATTTAGCTCAGTGGCATTGCGCCTGCCTGGCAAACACAAGGTCCTGGGTTCGATCCCTGGTACCAAAA